CCAGCTGTCACAACACAGGAGGCAGGGGACAACTTGGACAGGACACAGGTCCAACAAAGGGACACATAGATACAAATGAGACAAAACCATTCACACTTTCACTCGCACCTAGGGACAATTTAAAGTTACAAATTAGTCTAACATGACTAACAATTACATAAACATAAAACTGATCAGTGTGTGTCTGTGTAATTCTTATGTCTTGTGTCCTGCTCTCCTCAGTGTTTCTCCCTCCCTGTTGTTGTTTGCCACTGTCGGTTCGTTAGCGTACATAAGTCTGATACTCTGTGTTCCTTGTTGTCTGGGCATTATCTTGTATGGCATTATGGTTCTGTCTTCCTCCGTGTCATCCCAGAGATTTTTTAAGTTTGCTGCACGTCAGCTTTTGTTTTTGCTTTATTAAAAATATATTCTACTTTAATGAGTTCTCCTGGTCATGTCTGCACATTGGTTCTACCAAATTTCAGAATCATAACAAAAACCAGTAAGATCAGGATGATATAATTAATATGTTTACCCCCATTTTTTAACGACTAATTTCATCAGCTTGTTTATTTCACTTTAAAGTGACAACCAGAACAAGCTTAAATGTTGTTGTTTCTAAAAGCTAAAGTTGCTGAAAGCTCTGGCTTGCAGAGAACTGGCAGCTGCTGAAAATTAATCCATACATTAGCTTTTTGACTGTAGAGAAGGGTAAACAAATGCAGTGGGAAAAAAAGTGAATAATTGGAATATTTTTTATCATCATGATGTGCTTGTAATTTATGTTTTCAAAAATGTTTCTAAAGAGTCTAGAAAAAAACATTTCTAGGTCACGTCTTTTTAATAAAACAAACTGTCTGCTGCTCTGTGGAGTCATTCAGAGAAAAATGACACATTTCTGAATGACAGCAGGAGTCATTTTGAGTAAAACTCAATTGTGCAGTAAACAGATTAGCAGAAACACACAAACAGTGACAGCAGCAAGCTAACAATAGAGAACAGCCAAGCTTCACGCCAACAAGATGATGCAGAAGGTCTGCTCGAAGCACGTGATAAATCTAAAAATGACATTCTAGGAGCTTTAGCTGTAATTGTTGTAAAAATGTAATTTGCCTTTGATTAAATTAATGTCATATACTACAATCTTTTCAATTCTTCACCTGCATACATTGTATTGTTCTTTTTTTTACCCTTTGTAGATAATTCTGTAAAGATTGCTTACCATTAAGTATAAATCCTCCTATTTTTTTATGTTTAATGTTTGCCTTTTAAATGTTTGATTTTTGCCTGAAACCTTTCTGAGTTTTTGTAGTTTTACACAATGTTGTAAATGGGAGTACCATACTTTCCGCCATACACGTCTCACTGTCATAAGTTGCATCAGTCCAAAAAAGTCTAATAAAGTGGAAAAAAACATAAATAAGTCTCTTTGCCGTATAGGTCGCATCTATTATGCGTCACCGCTGGCCACCCATAAATGCTGTGCCCAAAATTGATTGGCTGTCAAATGACGGCCACGGGAGCGTGCATGGGAGGACTTTAACTAGAATTTAACAAGATTAACACCTAAAAGCAATTATTTGTTTGCTCGACATTATAGCAAATGCGTATCTCAGTTGAACTTTGCCTTAATTAATGCACTTTAATGGTCAAATCAGCTGCATTTCGTCTGGGCGGTGCAGCGAAACGTTTGCTCCAGGAGTTCCGGAGAGAGATGAAGGTGGCCTGTATGGCAAGCCAAGTGTCTCATTAATAGCCACTTTCACTTATTAATAAGACACGGCTTGCCACATTACTCGAGGGCCCTCTAGGGGCTGAAAATGGTAGTGGTCAATATTTTCCATGTCAGAATGAATGAAATCGTCATTTCTCAGCCAAAAATTGGTTTATAAATATGGGGAAAAAACATAAATACGTTGCTTCGGTGTATAAGTCGCAGGACGTGCAAATTTATGCAAAAAGGTGCAACTTATACAGCGAAAAACACGGTGATCAACCAATATGGTTAAACAAAGTTTAGATAAATATATATAAATAAACTGAAACTACACATCTTGATTTGATCAAACTTTTCTTAACACTTTTAAATAAATATTTCAAAAGTCAGCTATTGTTATAGGATGAAAATATTGCTTTTTGGAACCACTTAGAAAAGTGCACCAAACGATGTTTTATCAGAGCGTCTGTTGGAATTAATATATTAAAGGGATTAAGTGGTTAAAACATTATTTATTTTAGTCTCAAAGCTGCATCATTACATTAAAATTACTAAAAGGAATTACAGAAGTTTCTTCCTCTCTTCAGCTGTTTTTTTTATTTAAGTGCAGGATGTTTTTAATTTCTGCCTCGAAACACCTGATGTCACCTCATCACAGACATAAACTGAATTACACGGGTGGAAGCCGTAAACGACCTGGACACAACCGCCGAGGCTCGGAGCTGGGCAGACAGTATATTTAGTAGCTTGACTGGGATCAGTGAAACGGGGCGTGCGGAAGGCAAACATTAATCATGAGGGCCTTGATCAGCACAGAGATTTGAAAGCGGCTGAAAAACAGCAGCCGGTGTGCAGTGAGGTCTGTGTTTATGTCGTTAAAAACAAGTCGGGGAGCTCAGAATGAGCTGAGCCTTTGAGCACATCTTTAAACTCATCCTGATCAGGCTGACGTGTCTGTGCTGTGTGTGTGTGTAATGTGTTATTATATCAAAGTGTAGCTTAGCTTTCACTGACACGCTCATCTCATGTGTAATTAGGCCACAGCTGTGCTTAATGTAACGCACACCAGCACATTTCACAACGAAAACTGAAAACAGCCACTTAAACACTGAACACACGGGTTCAAACACACTTTTGCTAATTGAAGCAAACATGAAACATGAAAAACTGAATCCTTTAGATTTGTTTTGATGTATAAAAAAATTAATAAACAAGATTAGTTGGGTTTTTTTTGTATTCATTTGAAGAGCAGAACTGTGAAGATCTTCACAGAAAGATAAGGAAAATTGAAGTTAACAAAATCTGAAGACTAATAGAAAATGTTCTTATTGAGTGACAATGACTGCTCTGCAGGTGTCACAACCAACATTGTTAAAATGTTAAATAGCTTCAACAAACTCAGTTTAGTCTGAACATCCACCTTGACTGACTAATTTCTAATTGCCAAAAGGTGAAGAACGACTGTTGTGTTTTTACCTCTCTCTCTCTCTCTCTCTCTCTCTGTGTGTGTGTGTGTGTTCATGAGTTTGTCTGTTATCAAATATCTCATCAACTAAGGGACAGATTTTATGAAAACTTGCAAAAAGTAATCTTTGGGTGTTCATCTACAACTGATTGACATTCAGAACCAATCTAATTCAAGATGGCTGCCACAATCAGCTGTCATTAAAAACACTATAACTTGGTCAGCATTACAAATATCAACCTAAAATACGGTGTGGTAGTAGCTGAGACTGATTTCCAACATATATTCTGAGTGCTAAAAGATTGTGCAATATAATTATGTAAATTTTGTTCTGCATTAGGAGTCTACTCTTTCTCTTTCTACCTTTTTATGAAAATATCTTTTGAACCAGTGGACAGATTTTAATGAAACTTTCAGAAATTATTCATTGGATAAACATTAACTCATGGAGCAAGCTGTGCACATTATATTATAAAATGGAAACAACTCCACCCTTCTCATTATACAATGAACTTGGTCTAAAACTCGGGCATAAAACGCGTCGGGTGTATTCCTTCAAGAAATGCTGGGCCTTCAATTAAAAACAAGTTTCTTCATCCTGCAGCCCAAAAACATCATCCCGAGGGAGCTACCCAGGTAAAAAGAAAGTGTCGGTTTAGTTGTGCGTGTAGTTTTTTTTAATCGACCGTTATTTTTCCATTGAATCACCAGGACAGGACAAGATGTCTTTCTGAGAGAAAAAAGGATGCTCTGTCTAAGCTGGTCAAACATTGAGGTCACTTTAAAAACAGGAGCAGTCGAGTTAATGGACCCTGATTTCAACGACATGGCAAATATGCTGGGAAGAGGGTGGGAAAATTCACACACAAACACACACACACATATACATAAAGTCATGCCAAGTCAAACCTACAGGAGATTTGGGCGTGTATTTAGAAATAAAAAATCAGCCCATGACATCCTAACAGGCCAAACAAAATCAACTTATGTACAAACGGGGCGCTCCCTCTCTGCAGCGCCTCAAAGGTGTTACAGGAAACGCATTCATTCACAATTTTACTTATCGGGAGATGAATGCTGAAACCCTAACAAAACAAAGATAATGTAAATGCACACTTTAGGCAGCAGTGATTTCTATCATCACTCCCTGGATGCTAAAAGTTGCCTCCTGCCAGTTCTTGGATGACTCACATCTCACACGGCAGCAGAGGCTAATCCTGCACAGAGGCTGGATTGTAAAACCTGCCTTAATGCTCTGTAACCTGAGCCCTTCACCTTGAGTCAAAACGCTTCAGCAGCGAGTGTAAGCTATGGGAGGCATGCGGGACGTAAGTCAGAGTACATGGGTGTCACAGCATAAAGAACTACTTGTCAGAACATTACATGCAAATTACTCCGGGCTACTATTTAAAAAGATTTAGTGTTGTACCTGTCACTTCCCCTGCATGTTACACAGTTAAACTAGATCAGCGATTTTAAGTTCAAACGAGCCATTGTGTTTTACTAACTATTTAGGGCTAATAGGAATTATCTTATTAAATCGTTTGATGATATTCAGTTTATAAATCAGCCACTATGAATATGTAATCAACCAATGTTCTGTGTATGTGTTGCCAGTAAACAACAGAGGATGAAAACTTAAATATAATAAGAGGAGAGTTTAAACTCTATAGCCCAAACCATTATTATTTAAAAGCAGGAAACATCAGCAAATGGAAATATAAATATCAGCAAGGACAGCTAATAATTCATGTTTAATAATTGCATTTTTTTAAGTGACTTAAAGCTGGCAGAGATTGCAAATACGTCTCACACAGAAGAAAATAAACGCATTACCATCTTCTGCTCTGATTGTTGACTTTCCAAATCATCACAACTGCAGTATTTTCTGAAATAATCCAGAAGGCGTAACAATCATCCACAGAGCTGCTGCTTGAGCTCAGCGGCTCCTGAACCGAAATAAAATCCATTCTGCTCCAGCTCAAAGCTGAGTCACTGAAGGCTGGTGAGCAAACGTCAAGTTCTCAGCTGGTCCACCAACAAACGCTGTCCTTCTGTCTTTCTGTCTTTCTGTCCGTCTGTCCATCTGTCTCTGGCTGTCTGAGCATGCTTTTCTGTTTCTCTGAGGTTGTTTGTTTCGTCCTCGCAGCACCTCGAGTGCTGGGCGCTATGTTTGTCTGAGAGGGAGTGAGACCAAACATGACGGAGGGAGGGAGAATCTCTCTGCAAATCCAACATGGAGAGTTTATTATGGTTCACAAAAAGCCTTCAGATTAAGTTTTCTTGTAACAAGTTTAGCAGTATTTTTTATTTTTACAGCATTCTAAAACACTTTCGGTTGTAAAAACCAAGCAAAAGGAGGAGTTTAAGAATGCACGCCTCCACTTTTGAATGATGGAATATGTAAATGATGCAGCGCGTTTATGTTGGGCAATACTACCCCAAATTCAGACAAAGTTTCAGGTAAACACAATTCAATTCACTTCAGCTTATTTATAAAGCACCAAATCACAACCATCATCTCAGGGCATTGAACAGAAACATTCATATATAAAATAATATTTTAACACTATAAATCCACTGCTTGTTAATTTTAGCCTTGAAAAACAAAATAGGTTTAAATTCATTCAAACCCACAAACTTACGGTAAATAAAAATCGTAACATTTTAATTCATTTTCCACTATTTACTCATTATAATGTATGAATATGTTTTATGGGGGGGGAGTGGTGGCGCAGAGATTAAAGAAAGTGGGCTTGTGATCGGAAGGTCGCCGGTTCAACTACCCGGACAACAGCATCAAAATGTGGGTGAAACACCTGCCTCCACCCTTGTTTGCCCCACTCTTGGCCCTTGAGCAAGGCCTTTAACCCCCACCATCTGCTCCCCCTAGATAGCAGCTCTCTGCTCCACACAGAGGGCTGTGGTAGCTCGGTGGTCTGTGGTTGTGTCAGAAAGGGCATCCGGCGTCAAAACCTTCGCCAAGTCTTCATGTGAGTTAGTTCACTGTGACGACCCCTGACGAAGGGAGCAGACGAAGAAAAAAAAAGTATGGTAATGTTTGTTCATGTGTGTGCGTATATGTATACTGTATGTCTGCATTTTTACCAACATAGCTGAACCAATAGACAGATTTTAATTAAACTTGTAGAAAGTAATCATTGGATGTAAATCTAATTATCTTTTGAGTCACCCTGCTTTCAAATCACTCATAAAACCCATAAATGGCCACAAAACTTTAAATTTAAGAAATATTGAGCTTACTGTAAGTTTGGTGTGGTGTTAGCTGAGTCTTCACAACACACTTTCTGAGCGTGACATCTTATGACATCTCTTAAGATCAAGCATTTTGAATGTCTGAATCTCTCAACATGATCTAAAACCCTGGCATGAAAGACAGAGGGGGATATGCATTTGTTTAAGGAATGCTTAACCTTCAATTTGTTTATTTTATTAAAAATGTTTTTTTTTAATCTCTCAATATTTCCTCTGCTGTTTATGTAACAGTTTGTTTAAACTGCTGTGCACATTTACCACATGCATATAAATAGCTGCCAGTTGCAGAAAGAAAGGAAATATGAGCTGTGTCTTGCACCACAAAGGACGTTTTATGATCCAGAAACAATTTGTGATGTTTTGATTTCATCTTGGAACAAGCCTGAGGAAAACGCTGCGTGCGTTGAAGTGGTTTTTTTTTTTTTCTTGTCGTACAGAGGAGAGATCACGCTTGTTGCTATACGTTCTGTTCCTCCCTCTCAGTGGTCCTCCTTCAGGATCTGTTAATGCACTGATTCTGCTGGGCAACGAGGCAAATGTGGAAAACGTCACAAAAGGACGAAGACAGAGAGAGGGGGACGATGGGAGGAAAAGCAGCAAGGAGAGGAGGGACAAAAAAAAAACAGTGGCATACATGACAGTGTGTCTTTGATATTAGGCTTGAGCAGATCGAGTGTGTCCTAGCCAGAGGAAAGAAGCTGTTGATTCATCTGGTCACAGACAAGGCCTCGTCGCCCTTGTCCTTATTTCGCCGCCTCACAAAATCCTCTTATTTTGCACGATCTCTATCCGAGGCTTTTTGCTTAACTCTGAATCTCTGTTCAACGTGAAATGCTTCTTTGTCAGGTCATCATTGTCAGGTCACTAAATATAGAAGACTTAAAATCACAAGTGGAACTTTTCTGGGAGAGGCCCACAGATTTGGAACGAGCTTAAACGTTTAAAAGAGTTGGAATTCATCTCCACCTTCAAAAAACAGTTAAAGACCAAATTGCCTTGTTTATATACTTGAGATCACTTGTAGGACCTGAAACTGATCAGTGGTAACATAATCTGTATGGAATTTGTATGAAGAATGTATGATGTTTTTATTGTGTTGTTATTTTAATGTTATAAACTGTATGTAATTATAGGCTCCATCTATAAGCTTTAAACAGCTTTTTGGAGATCTGATTCACGCACTGTTATCTTGCAGTTATGTATTATGTATTATGATTCTTTCTCTGTGTGTGTGTGTGTGTGTGTGTGTGTGTGTGTGTGTGTGTGTGTGT